CAACAACAACAACAACAACAACAACACCAATAAAACCACAGTAAGAGAACTCCTGACACAGGAGGAACATACATGGTCCTGCAGGGGGCCACAGTGAGCCACTGATGAAAAAAAAAAACCCCAAACTTCTCACTTCGAACACAGCTGGGTCCTCTTGGGAAAATAAAACACACACACGACAAAAATCTGCATCCTAATACAGTACGTACAAGTCTTGACACGAACGAGGCGGCGGCGGCGGCGGTTCATGTGCGACCCGAGGATCAGAGCAGCATGCGTGTGTTGCCTGGTATCAGCCTGAGAACAACATCATCTTACTGTGTCATCTTCCTGCAGATCAGAGGATTACACACCCGGGGGCTGAGCCGGCTCGGTTCATATGAACTAAAAAGTCATTTCACCTGGAGATAGGAATTATTAAATGAGTAGGAAAGTTAGGATGAAACACAGCTGACCTGTGGTCAGTCTGTGACCCAATCACAAGTTAGAGTAAATGTTCTGAGTCAAAGGTCACTGTTATCAGTTTGACTCTTTGACAGATTAATATTTGCATCTCATCCTAGGGTTGTTTCCCTCCCTGATCAGCCTGGTACTCCACGTGGCTGACGACCACAGCTCTGATTACCCCGGGTGATTATTATCATAATTATATGAGCGCAGACGTGCAGGCTGATGAGACGCCTGCGTTCTGACAGGTGTCTTTCTCTCTCAGCCCTGTGTCTTCAGTGGCGTGGCGGTGGACTCTCCCACATGACCTACTTCCCAGACTACAGGAGAGATTAGCAATATCTCCAAACACACACACACACACACACACTGGGAGCAAGGTTGAGACAACAAACACACCAAGTCTCTCTCTCTCTCTCACACACACAAATAGAAATAGAAACAGACACCACTGAAGACAGACAGTAGAACGCAGCCCCGTCCTCGGTGGAGACACATCTGCTGCGTCGTCTTTTCCAGTGACGTCACGTTACGGAGGATTAAGAAAGCAACAGATGTACGTACTACGACTACGGCCTGATTTTATACAAATGCATCCAAACGACTGTGGTTGGAAATAATTATATGCAACCATTAACTATCTTGTAACTACAACCCCCCCCCCCCCCACACACACACACCCTCTCCCCCCCGTCACTCCCCCCCAAACAACTCTTAACTTGTGGCAGCAGGTTGAGGAAGGGAGAAATGTTCGTGACATAAACAAAAATCAATCTATTCAGTTACCAATTAATTTATATCTATTATAATGTAGTTCCTTATTTATATCACAATAACATCAATAACATATTTTTATTATACATTTTCATTCGCAGACGTTTAGCAGGAGCTTTGATCCAAAGCGTCTTACACAAGGAGGATTAAGTATATGAGTCCACTGGGGCTCGAACCCCGGACCTCGTGCGTGTAAGGCGGAAAGTCCTGCCTAACACTTTTAATTCATACTGTATTTTTAAATGATAATTTCCAGGATTATGTTTTATACGGTAAGACTAATATTTATGTTGGACCAATGGGTTAGATGACACTGTCAACATGAAACTCAGGCGCAGGCAAAATCTCTGTGTACACTACACACAAGAAGAGGAACTCTTTCAATCAAAGGCAGTTGAGTGCCACTGGCCATTAGCCAATAGTGTGAGCAACCATTTTAATTTTGGACCAATGAAAACTAGGATCTTTTTGATACATTAATTGACTAACTGTGTGTTTATATTTTTATGTCAATGCATTAAAAAACTGAATACAAATAAAAACTATTTCATGACCCCCTTCTGTATCTCCATGGACCTTGTTAGGGCCGCGACCCACCTTTTGATAACCTCTGGTCTATGTAAATGTATTTTTATTGTTAAAAAATTAATGACTGTTTTTCACATTTTTATGCATATGCTGCTGTAAAAAAATGAATGTTTTTCACATTTTTATGCATATGCTGCACACACCGACACCCCCCCCCACCACCACCCCCGACAGGCTTAAACACTAATTAACACCAAGACATTCACATGACACTGAACCATATGATGGTGCTATCGCAGAATTAATTAGCGCAGTTGTTAGCAAACAAAACTCTGAGGCAGCGAGGTGGAGCGCACGAGACTGCTGAGGATTATGGACTTACAAGGAACTGCACGCAGGTAGAGGTTCTCTCTGATGACCTGCTGAAGCTGACTGTCCACGGAACCTGGTGTGAAGCACTTGCTCAGATACAACCTGAGGTCCTTGCACAACGTGGAGCCTGGAGGAAGGACAAAGACAGAAGATATTAATGATGTAAAATTGATGACAAATGGCATATACTAATATTTCATTTTTTTAAATCACTAACTAACTAATTACTAACTCTTTTTTTCAGTTAAAGAGGAATTTTCCAAAATGACTACTGATGTTGATTAAAGATCAACTAAGATAAAATAAGAGGCAAGAAAACATAAGAAAGGAAAATAATGAAAAAAAATTAGCTAACCTTAGCTAAGCTAAACTATGATAAAAATTAGCTACAGTAACATTAGAAAATATATAATCAGATCTAAAATAAGCAAAGACAAATATCATAGCATCTGAACAGATCCAATCAACTAGGCTAAACTGAGCTAGGCTAAAAAAAAGATATACTTAGACCGGATAAGAAGACGAAGAAGAACATATGAAAAATAAAAGATGACATCAGCTAAGCTAAGCTAAACTCAACTAAAATTAAAAAAACAGATACGATATACTTAGACCAGATAACCTAAGGAATGCTAAACTTAACTAAGACAAGATAAGCTAAACAACGATAACATATGACAAGACAGAAAAAGAAAAAAAAAGACAAGCGTAGCTAAGCTAAGCTAAGATAAGATAGCCAGAACAGCTAGCAGAATACTGAAATGCCGAGTAAGTTGACTGATTCAGCAGGTGACCCAGGTGACATGCTGTCAGCTGCAGACGTTGAACTGAAGGGCGGCGCTCAGCTTTGTCTCCCTGATCTCTTAATATCATCTAAAGTGCTTTATGGTGACATGCCACTCGCTGCTATCGATGGATTAAAAGCATCTCCAGCGTGTCACGGTGACAGACAACCACTCTATCTGTGATTCCCCAGCAGAACACACGGCTGCCCCACTAACCCCACCCCCCCCAGCTCCCACCCTCCACCCTCACCTTCACATCTGTCACTAAGGTTCTGGCCAAGAACCAGACTGAATTTCCAATGTGTCATGAAGGAAAGGCCAGAGTGCTGTAACTCCATTAGTGCAGTCAGTCAGCTGCACCTACAGAATAATGGCCACATATGGCAGTTGCCTGTGAAGTAAATGGATCAGCCAGCTGTGTTTAGGAAGACGTAACGAGCTTTTGTTCATTGTGTTATGAGACAGCTGCTATTCTCCAGTCTGTCAAAGAGCGGAATCAACGCCCGAGCAGCGGCTCCTCCAAACCGAACGAGCCCAGTTTAATGAAAAAGACAGAACCGTGGTTCTTGTGCAGACATCGCACACACACACACACACACACAAGCTACTTTTACAGCAAGGCCGTCAAATGTCAAGGTTAATGGTAACACACACTGGAAGCAGACGGCAGGATGGAACCGCTGCAGTGGAAATTGAAAATGGGTGAACATTTAAGAGACGGACCCACGTCCCTGCTCCGGTCTACGGAGAACCAGCGTTAGCGCTAAACCCTTTAGAGGAGCGTCCTGTACGACGTCGACGGCGGAGCGCAGGGAGTAGGTAGTCGCTGGAATGCCAGTGAGGGGAGGAGGTGTGTTACAGCAGCACATCCATCACTGTCCACAGTCTAAGCGGTCAACCTGCCTGCAGAGGACCAGGCCCACTTCAGGAATGATAATGGATCAAGCAGCAGCACAGGAAGCGGGGCCAAAAGGTCCCCGTTTATACCCCCCCGGGGCCAAACCAGCCATCAATCCCGGCAGCGAGGCCATCAGACGCCGCAGTCCGAGTGACACCTCGGTGACATACTGCTCCGCTCAGAGCCAACCAAGACATCCAATTCCCCGAGCCCCGTTGGAAACATCAAGGACCCTCACTGGTGACATACGCCCACAGCGTACGGTCACACTCTTGTCATGTGTCATTCCAAACTTCGACTTCCTTCCCACATATTGACCGGTGGCCACGACATTTTCAGTGTGACTATTTGGAAGTTGCACGTCAGCGTTAGAGCGCTACAGGCTGCAGACGTGCGGCGTGTAGACGTCATCGCACGATTGTTATGGATAACAGATATCGACCGATTGTTCGTGTGTCGCCTCATGCAGCAAGTGAACGGCGTGCACCACAAGGGAAGGCTGGTTTGTTTGAACAAAACAAACCTGCAAGGCAAGAAACAACAACCAAAACAAGGTAAACGACTCACAAACAAGATGAGGTTTGTTTGAACGGCACATTATGAAAAACACAAGGTAAACGACTCACAAACAAGATGGTGGAAAAAAAAGAAAGAAAGAATGAAAGAAAAGCCATTTGAATTAGATGTGTCAAAATTAAAGCATTAACTGCGTTCATTCATTTGTGAAATTAATTAGATTCGAAATTTGACTGAACGAACGGAACGACGCAGATTATTTACGCTCTAAGACACAGTTGACGTTGTTATTTACGCACACGTGGGGAAGAGTTGAAAGTGTTTCACCAAAGTTCCTGGATTTTAAAACACCTCCTCAGCTGAGGCGTCAACATCTGGTCAGCGGCCCCCGGGATGTGTCAGAGCGGCCTGTCTGAGATCAGGACAGTCGGTGAGTCTACTCAGGATGATCAGGACAGTCAGTGAGTCTACAATACGACTGACGTGTCTGACTGACACAACAGTCGGATGGATTTGAATGATTAATATTGTTGGGGACAACGACTGGACTGAGGTTTAGAAAGAAACTTTAACGACCGACATTTTGAGTTTTTACTTTTTCATAATTTTCTTGATCATGATTAGGATTAGCCACAAAGAAAAGTCAGGTGTTTTGAATGATGATGAATTGTGATTAATCTAGCGCTAACATGTGATTAATCAGATGGAAATGTTAGTTTGACTGCACTAATAAAAAGAGGCAGAATTTAAATGTTTTGCTTCAGGGTCAGGAAGATGGTTAGACAAGAATTAAAAACATCGTTATATGTGACATTTACTGCAGAAAGTCATTAGCAGGATTAAAAAAAAAAAAATACGTCAGTGTGTCGATTCCTACCTGGAGGTACGGTTTTCACGCAGACGGGATGGGGACAGGAGTTGAGGACACCACGCACGTCTCCCAGTGTCATCCCTAAAACAGGTGTTCCTCCAATTTCTAGGATGATATCACCCACTGTGAGTCCGCCCCCTGGTGCCGACGTGATGAAAGGAAACTCTCCATAGTCTGCTCCTCCGCCAATCGCAACCCCGAGGTCTCCCGACGAGCCTAGCGACGGGACGAAGCAGTCCTGCACCCTGGAACGCCAGTGCTTCTTCACCGCCGTCTTAGACATGGCAAACGAGCTACAGAGAAAAGGAGAGGAGAACGGAGGGTGAGGGTGAGAGGGTGTGAGACAGGGAAACAAAAAAAAAAAAAAACAAGAGAGAGGGTTGCTGTGGAGAGGTCCACAGACTCCAGGTAGAAGGTTGTTTTGGTTATTTAACCTTTAGCAGCTGTCAAGGTCTGACGTCTGGGGAGGTGGTGTAGCGTTTCACACCAGAAAGCCTAAAAGCCATGAATAATTCCAGCTTCAAAGGTGTTCTTCGAGAGTGCCGTTAAAATGTCCAGAAATAGACCAACAGGGAAGTGTCTCCCTCACATTACTGAACAATAACCATCCACCTCATGAAAGAAAAAAAAAAAACACCTTCCCAGCACAGAAGTGTTGCTGCAGGTTGACGTGATGTTTTCCCAGCACAGAACTGTTGCTGCAGGTTGACGTGATGTTTTCATGTCAACAGAAGAGGTGGAGTCGCATTCCACCACATGCACGGTTACATGGGAAAATAAGTTTTGCGTTCGATAAACACACAGGTCGATGACTTCACACACAGGTGGACAGTCAATTCAAGAGTGCGCCCCCTGTCAGAGGCATTAATGTATCCACACAGCGTAGATTCTCACAGATTTCTCTGGACTACGAACGCTGACCTCGTCTGTCCGTGAGAACAGACTCTGCTGTTTTAGTGTTTATAGACAAACTCTTTGTATTTAGTTGCCAAAGAAAATAAATAAAATTGTGACGCCTCAAGGGAAAGCTGTTCTGAGAAAAAGGCAACGTGCTTCTCAGGGAGCAGCTGTGTTTGTCAGAGCGGAGGAGAAAGACGAGACAACTAAGATGTCTGGGATTTGACAGCTGCAGTGTCCACGGAGAAAAGTCAACGTCTCTTTGACATCCTGGCCAAAAGGACAACAGAGACAAACAGATTCACAGATATAAACAAAAAAAATGCAGACGACCTCAGAGGAAAGTTATTCTAGGTGAAAGTTCACCCTGAGCTCCTGGACTGAACAGTTCCTGAACTCTCACCAAGCCCAGTGCTGATTTGAAGATAAAGAAAATGTCTGTTTTGTTGACTATATATTTGAACCAATAGCACAATGAAAATAAATATATATAAACATATATATGCTCATAAACCAAAAAGGAAGAAAAGATTGAAAAAATTACAATATCATATCATAAATAGGACATATACTAGGGTTATCCATTGATTAAAAGTTTTGATCAGATTTATCATTTATCGCATGATATGTAGAATAATCTCAATTAATCAGGATTAATCACAATTAAAATGTATTATGATTAATGATTAATCAAGATAAAAGGTCATTCCTAAATATGACAGAACCTTTTTAGAGACAAATACTGTAATATACATATGTATATATACTGTAACAGTAAGTACATGTATGTGTATCACACTCCAAATGATGGAGTTACCATTTTTGGTCATTTCCACACGTTGGTGTATCATGCTCAGGATCCATCTCAGTGGGTTTTAAAGTCATGTGATCATCACCCAGACAATCAGCTAAGATCTGTTTTTACCACAAGAGGGCAGGTGATCAAATACGGTTACATCACTGACCTTGATTTTCTACAGGAAAATGCAAAAAGAAAAAGAAAAATGTCAACACAGTAATAAAGTCCTGTTATGTCGTCCAATAACAGCCTGAGGTTGATTAGTGTTTCAATGTTAATGAGCGCTCTACAAAGGGTTAACATGAAAGGTGCCAGATACGTCACAGACAGTCTGGGTTCAATACCACTCAGTCCCACAACCACGGGTTCAGTTGCCTCTGGAAGGGCATCCGATGTAGAAACGCTGCCAAATCAATATGTGGGACACCCCTGTGACCCCCTCACCTCCCCACCCCCCACCAGATGAAAGCTTTGGCCAAAAGTGATTCACTGTCGGTGGATTTCATGTCTACCCGACTTCAACAAAAAATCTTTCAAATCTACTTTCAAAGAAACTGTAGGTTTCAACCTTTAAAAGAAGCAAACACACAGGGTTGTGTTTACTGTCGGTTCAGTCCCACAAAGATCAACAACATCAAGTTAAAGGTCTAACCCGGCAGAAGTGATGCTAAATGCTACGTTTATGACAAGAAACAGACTGGTAGAATTTTCTCCTGTAGAAGCCACGAAGTCAGTTTGTCCACGTGCAGTACTTCAGAGTACAATTCACGGTGAAATACTTCTACACCCTCACTGAAATATGCACATTAAAATGTCACTTCAGACATAAATTGGTGAATTATCTGTGGGTTGATGTCCTAAAATCATGAAATCAACCCCCTATAACCTGCTGGGACCAAGATTATGGTATAAATCACTGTGGAAGTGACATTAAAACTATGGTATAAATCACTGTGGAAGTGACAATATTTACAGTCCACTGTATCTCCTCGTCCATCACTCACTCCAGCAGGTTTACACTGCAGACTTCATCTGGATGTAATCTTATTAAGCCACTGATTATGTGACCATGACAACCCTCTGTTCAGTGGGTGGATGGTGTCATATCACACCCAGAGGTTTTCTTGGTTCAGACCCAGCATGAGAAGCTGGACCTCCTGGCCCAGTGGACCTAATAAAACCAGAGAGTGAGAAGGACAGGGTACACGTAATCTCTCCGCCTGATTGGTCATTTGATGGGCAGGTTCATCCTTTCTTCTTTGGTTCCACCAGAGCAGCAGGTCCCTGGTGGTTCTTTTACACTCAGGCACAGACGAGAAGGCAAGACCGAAGCAGCCGCTGGAACTGTCAGAGTCGATGTGAAACGTGTCAATTAGAGGCGTTTCCAAATAATTAACAGAATGTTTCTCAAATACAAATATCCTTAAACTGTTGTAGCTAACATTAGCCCTGGTGTTTGTACCAGGACTGTTGTAGCTAACATTAGCCCTGGTGTCCTGTGCTGTGGGCGGTGCTTCAATCCCTCTGAAAATTAACAAAAGAACAAACAAAGAAAGTATGAATTAATCCTACACTTAATTGTTGGAACCGCAGTACTGAAAACCCGAGCTCTAATTTTATTTATGTATTTTTGTTGTTTTATTATTTCTGTTATTAAATGTTTATTTAGGTTGTGTTTGTTTGTATGTTGGTGTTGTTCAGCGTTTAACCTTTAGGGTCATTTATTGATGTTTTTAGCAGGGACTGGGGGAACAGAGTCGACTCTGAATAAGAATAACAATCCTCAAATAACTACAGGAGGATTGTGAATATTTAGAAGATGAGAGGAAATAGGAAACACAGACAGAGAGAAAGAAAAAACGGCAGAGCACAGTCTGTGTTTGGCAGAGGAGTCACTTGTCTGACCTTGCAGGACTTTCAGCTCAGGTGACACCAAACAGATCCAGAGGAAATGGCCAAGTTGTTTGCCACACCATTAAGAACCCACAGACGCACAGATTAGACATTCCGTCCGGTTTTCGAAGCCTGCGGCTGTCAAAGTTGTTCAGGAGCGTCTGAGTAATCGTGGGCTTCATTGTTTACGCTGGCCTGTTTAAAAAAACGGAATCACGCTTATCATTACAGAGCCTCCAGTCACCGTCTCTCTTCTTCACTCTGATAGTCTCCGCAGTAACATGGTCGACCTGCTTTCACAACGCCATCCATCCAGACTCCCACACAGAACACAGGAATACTGCATGCATTAAGGATGTCATTAGACAGGGATGAACGGATTCATAAAAAGTTTCCCAACAACGTTCGCTCGGGCACCAATCTTCAATCCCGCTCCTCATAAGCCGTTTGTATCTTTATGCTTTATCTGAAGATTATTCGGCGGTTGTGATTAAAGAGCTAAAAATAAAACAGCCAATAGTCTCGGGGTCTTATCCTCTCCTGTTGGATGTGCACAGTCACACTGTGCGTTTATTTTGTGCATTGAGGCAGAATGCGTGCGCGGACGTTAAACGTTGTCTTGACCGCGAGGAGCGTTAGTCTGGAGTTTAATGAGGCCCAGCCTGTCAAGTCCACTGAAGCCTGGACTCATCCCTCTGCAGACACACCCTGACACTGCTCTGCACTCACTCTGCTACTGTCGATGTTACCAACTGGTCATGTTCACTCATCTCACCGCGTCCATTAATAACACGGTGCTGTGTCCAGGGAGAAATATGCTGTTTGTCAAATTACCGCCGTTCAATTGACGATGCCTCAGTTTATATTTACAGTATGTGAGGACGGGCTGCCAAACTATTACATATTTTAATGTAATTATATAATTATTATATATGATATATAACAGTAGCTACAGAGTAATTGTGATTAATCAAAATAATTCAACTTTTTTTGTACATTGTTGGAAAAACAGAAATAACATTTCTGACAAACACAAATGATGGACTTGCTAATATGAAAAAATGTCAATAAAGATTTGTAAAAGAAAAACTCAATTTTCATTTTTCAGGTCACAATTGTACAACGAGGTCCCAAAGAAGAGGTCCAGTGTTTTAGAAGAATCGTAATTTGTGGTACGATACCATCAGTACAGTGTCAGGATAATTTGTTCTCTCCGTTTTTACACCAGAAAAGTATTTTTATCCTTATTATAGCTGCACTTATTGTTGGGTTACTGCACAGAAGCAGGATATGTTTATATTTATTTATTTTTTTATGGTCCATCATGTTTATTACACGGAATGGAAAATTTGTCTTCAGCTTCTGTTAAACCAAACGCTACAATAACAGCAACTCGTATAAAACCAATGAAACTGAGACGTGCTCAACCTTCAGCCATAAAAGCCTCATTAAAAGGACGGAGCTGAAGTGGTGGAACAGCTGGGATTTTAGGCCGTGTGTGGGTTTACTGAATGCAGAATCCTGGTGGTCACCTTGTTCTGTGTCTCCACTTATTTCTGATCCTGTTGTGGCAGTTCTCTGGATTTACCCCTGCCCTGTGGCTGCTCAATTATTTAGGGTCGTCCAAATGAGCCCTTGTGAGAAAACAGGAGTCAGTGGACAATTGGATTGGAGTGTTCTTTTTCCCCCCCCCCATGCTCAGCA